TCAAGGCCAGCCTGGTCTCCAGAGCGAGTACCAGGATAGGCTCCAAAAGCTACACAGAGAAACCCTGTCTTGAAAAACAAAAACAAAAAAAACAAACCAAAACAAAAAAAGTAAACAGTAATTACAATACCTAACTTTATATTCTCATTCTCTGCCCCCATCCAGCGGTCACTAGCCTAGGAATTCAAGGATGTCTGAGACAGAAAATAATTGTATTTGTAAAGTTTTTATTTACATCTAAAAAATTAACTAAAAGAGGTCTAAGGCTAGGTTCAATTCCGTACTGGGGAAGAGAGGAAATCAATTACACATTAGACTAAGAATACTGGCTGAAGCCCTGTGGTGGCAGCACACGCCTTTAATCCCAGCACTCAGAAGGCAGAGGTAGGTGGATCTCTGAGTTTGAGGCCAGCCTGGTTTACATAGTGAGTTCCAGGACAGCCAGGAATGTTACACAGAGAAATCCTGTCTTGAAAAACAAAAACAAAACAAACAAACAAAAAAAACCTGAGTTGAGATTTTTCAGCCTGGTATGGAATCATGCCTTTATAATCTAAGCACTGAGAAGAGTCAGACTCCTGGAGCTCACTGGCCACTCAGCCTAGCTAACTGGTGATCTCCAGGCTCAGAGGACCCAGTTTAAAGTGGAAAAGAAGTTAAGTGATAGAACAAATACCCAGTGCCCTCCTGTGGCCTTTGTGCACATACCCTACCACATACACACACTCACATGCACCACACACAGTAAAAATTAAAACACGATCATCTGTTAAGGATTTTTAATATGAGGTGTTTTCACATATGAATACATTACCAAACAAATCTACTAAGGAGAAGGCAACATTTAAAAATAAGGACATATCAGAGAATCTTAAAAACTGTTGGAGCTGGAGAGATGGCTCAGCAATTAAGAGCACTGGATGTTCTTCCAGAGGGCCAGGTTCAATTCCCAGCACCCACAAGGCAGCTCACAACTTTCTGTAACTCAGACATACATGCAGGCAAAACGCCAAAGCACACGAAATAGAAGTAAATATTTTTAAAAATTCATAAAAAATGCAAATAAATCAAGAAAAATCATTGCTTTAATATTTTATAAGTATTTATTATTATGTATCTGGATGTATGATGTGTGTGTACAGGCCTAAGTGCCATAGCACACACATGGAGGTCAGAGGATGACTTTGTGCAGTTTTCTCTTTCTGCCTTATCTTAAGGTGAGGTCTGAGAATTGATATAACTCAGGCCATCAGGCTTGCATGATTAGGCAGCAAGCACTTTTACCCTCTGAAGCCATCTCACTAGCCCTTCTTTAGCTTGTTCTTAAAGTAAAAGGAAGACTTTTTCATGAACTCCAAAATTGCAGAAACATTAAAAAAAAAATCTGAAGAAGTTAGCATTTAAAAAAATAAACATTTCTCTTTTTTTAGCAAAAGTCTCATTTGTTTTTCTCAAAGAAACAAAAGATGCACTTTCATGTCAGGACCTTCATCAAGAAATAGAGGCAATTATATTCCAGTCTGTCCAAAGAAGAGTTGTCTTGTTAAACACTTGAAAGACAGTGCCATTTGCTCTGCCTAAAACTCCCTTATAAGGTAAAGACTCCTCCTTACCAGGCCTGGATAGGAAATGGTGGCACTCTCCCCTCTACAGCCCAGGAAAATCTAAGCCTTAATATTCACAAAACAATCTTCTGAGAGCTTCAGAACAGCTGCATTCAGGCACAGCCAGGGACTTTACTTTAGGCAAAAGAGTAGTGTAAGAGTTGATTTCAAAAATAACTTTGGTTATTTTTGAAGTTAGAAAAAGGGCCAGGCGTTGGTGGCACATGCCTTTAATCCCAGCACTCGGGAGGCAGAGGCAGGCGAATCTCTGTGAGTTCAAGAGCAGCCTGGTCTTCAGAGCGAGTGCCAGGATAGGCTCCAAAGCTACACAGAGAAACCCTGTCTTGAAAAACCAAAAAAAAAAAAAAAAAGGAAAAGGGACAGGAGGTGGTAGCACACACCTTTGATCCCAGCACTTGGGAGGCAGAGGCAGGCAGATCTCTGTGAGTTCATGATCTACACAGCAAGTTTTAAGACAGCCAGGGCTACACAGAGAAACCCTGTTTGTGGGGGCATGGGGGACAGGGGCGGCCATGACGACAAGATACAATAACAGTAACATTTTAGCTCTTGTAAGCAAAATATTTTTAAATTCTATAAATTAAAACTTAGATCCACTATAAAGTTCAAGATACTGGTGGCTTCCTCTGCCTCTATCAAACTTTCCTGGCAAAATAAAAATAAAAGCCACTTAAATCCAACAATTCATACCTGCCCAGTTCAATATTAATGAAGGAAAATAATCTTACTGACTAGTGGGATTTTAAATTTAAGCCATAACTTAACAATTTCTATCAATTTTTCAATTCTCTCTCTCCCTCCCTCCCCCTCCCCCTCCCTTCTCTCTCTCTCTCTCTCTCTCTCTCTCTCTCTCTCTCTCTTTTACAGGCCATGTAGACACAAATGATTTTGGCTCTTGCCTCCACTTCTCCAGTGATGGGATTACAAGTGTTCACCACCATGCCTAATTTTATGTAGTAAGAGAGCTCATACTTGCTCATCAAGCATTCTACCTACTGATCTACATATCCAGGACCTAATGTCTATCTTTCTCCCAGATGAGAACATTGCCCAAGAGAGAAAAAAAAAATATTGCACTTAAGAGTGTTCAACTTAAAGCCATCTCAAATTCTAGATTGGAAAAACAAAATAAGGAACTTTGTTTTCTCACTGGATTTTCTTTTGAGGGAGGAGGGGAAGACTATTGCCTGGAAAACTGAAAATTCTTCTGAATGTACAGTAGCAATTGATTAGTCTCAATGTTTTTGTAGGGACAATTTCTAACCAGGGGAAAATGCTTCAACTGGCTGTTGAAAAACAAAGGTTAATACAAAACCACATGGTCTGAGATTTCTTTATTAGTAGTACTTCAATTCTCAAAAGCAAAAGAGGCTGAGTTTTAACTCAGTGGTAGAGTACTTGCCTGGCATGCACAAAGCCCAGGTGAAAGTTCCAACTCCAGCTTGATTACGACCCCCCCCACACACACACACTCTTTCTAGCTCATGCCAAAAATGGAGGGGTGGGTCAGACAGACAGAAGGAATACAGTCTGTGCGTTAGCAAAGAAGTTATTGATTAGCTTTATGAGTCTAGCTTATTATCAAAATGATATACAATTACCAAACAAAGGGCAATGTCCTGTTCCTTTTCTGTACAGAATTAAGAACAAACTGGTAATACTACTTCGTATACTGCCAAACTTTTCTTTAGCTTCTTTTCTTACAGTCATGTTAAATTTCGCAATAGCTTCCACTTACTTTATATCCCCCATGTTAAAAAATAAATTGTGTTTGAGTTACTCAACACTTGCTTTAAAATATTATGATAGCTCTTTAGTGTCTAAGTTGGATGCAAAGAAAGCATGGGGAAATGTTCAATTTTATTCACACCATTTAAAATATTAAGAGGGTACTGGGGATGTAGCTCAGTTGGTGCAGTGCTTTTGTAGCATGCACAAAGCCCTGGATTCAATCCCCAGCACCACATAAACTGATAAACTGGGCATGGGAATGAATGCCTGTAATTTCCAAAGCCAGTATGGGCTACAAGACATGCTGCATAAAACACCATGGGGGGGGGGGGGGGCTAAGAATGTATCCTAGATGGTAGAGTGCTTACCTAGCTTTCATACGACCCTGAGTGCTCAGTCCCTAGTACAACATACACTGGACATGGTGACACACACCTATAACCCCAGCACTTGGGAGATGGACAAGGGAGGATCAGGAGTTCAAGGTCATCCTCAGTTACCTCAGTTTGCAGTGTACCTGGGTTGCATGAGACCCTGTCTCAATTAATAAATAAGAACTTATATAAACAAGATAATTAAGACTAAGCTCAATCATTTAATTAAGAATTAAATAACTCTTAATGAATGAAAGGGAAAAGCCACATTTAAGGAAACAAACTTTGTTAGTGTTTAGAGATCTATACAGGTTCTAAAGAAATTATACTACTGAAAAAACATAGGAAACAAATGAGTTCCTGAAAAAAAAAATTTCTACACATCTCCACAAATCTCTTCATATGAGAGATACTAAAACACCCTCTGCAGAAAACAAAGTTAGTAAAGTAGTAGCACGGGAATCTGGGTAGGAGGTGCCTGGGTAGTAAACACCCCAGTGAGAGAACATAACAAGCATTTGAGAGAAACATATAACTCCCTACGGGTCTCCAAGTTGGGCCGCCGAAGTCCCAGGCCCACATCCCTGTGTTTTGAAAGAAATGAAACTTGGAAACGGAATACTGGAAAAAAAAGAAAATAAGAGCAGTGTACTATTTTTCCTCATCTCAACCCTTATGCCAGCATTTTGGTTGGCTGGTCACCAGACTGGGTGCCATATCCACCAAAAACACTAAGCAATATCCCGGACCGCCTTCCGACTAAAGACCCAGGCTAAGAGTATGTCAGCGGCTGTCTCTTCTCCAAATACCCCCCTTACCTCTAGACTGCAGACTATGACTGAAGCGATGCCTTCTAGCAACTCAATCCACTCAACACTGTCTTCCTACACTCATCCACTCACTCTCTCCAAATCCAGACTTTCTGATACCACGTCTCTGCAAATTATTCTCAGGAGCTCAATCGAGACGCCAGGACCCTCGGTTGCAACGCTCCACCTCGACGTGCTTTTCAGCCGAACAACGCATGCTTCCACCTGAGCGGGCTCTCCATGTCACCCAAACCTACCTACTGCCCATTACCTTTGCCTTTTCCAGTGCCAAGCCCTAACCCCACTTTTAGGGAAACCTTGAGTACTTCAACCTAGTTCAGCAGTCCTTCTCTCTCTTCTAGTCCAAGATCCTTCCATTAGACTTCCACTAGACTCGGCTTCCCTCGGGATTCAACCCCCCCTTTTCCTCGCCACGCCCTGTGCCCCCCGGGGCTACTTACCCCAAGTTCTCCCCACACTTCAGTCCTCTGGCCCCGCCTTCCTCCAAAAGGAAGGAGGCGGGAGAAGAGAAGAGGGCGGCACTCCGCAAGGTAAAGGCGATCTCCCATTAGCGCTCATGGCCGCCAATTGTGGCTTCCTTCTCGCTTATTGGTTGTCTTTACACTAGGCCCCACCCTCTTCCTCAGACAGGCCCGGCCACCGCCTCAGCGCCCCCGTCCAACACAGACTGGGAGGGGAGACCCCGGCCCGGGACGCTGGGACTGGCCAGAGTGGAAAGGGAGACTTCTGTCAGACCACGGACCGGCTAATGTTAACAGGACTCACCCGCTGGTAGCTCCGGCGCCTCCCGCCCGCCCGCGCTCGGTCCCACAATCTGTCTCCTGCTCCTCCTTTCCCCCCTCAGCGGAGCAGATA